ATCCACCTTCGAAAAAATCAATCAGTTTTTCTGATGATCACGAAAGCGTGAAACCTGGGGTTACAATCTACCATCCTTGCAACTGCATATGTTAGCTCTATCAGCACTTTCCACTCAGTACCGTGCATATATATATATATATATATATATATATATATATATATATATATATATATATATATATATATGAAATAATTTAGACAAGTTTTGTCTACTCATTTTAAAAAGGATCTTCTAGTAATTACAGACAAGTTTCTTAGTGTCCTTATTAAACGAAAAAAAAAAAAAAACAGCAATTACCATGATGATGCATATTCATTTCATTCTAAGTACTTTCAACATTAGTACAATGTTGCAATCAGGCTGTTGTTCTAAGACATAAAATTGACGTGTTCATAATTTTCCTAAGACAAAATTCTTGCGTTCATCCGAAAATTCATTTTTTACGTTTCAAGTGAAAAACACTTAGGTTATATACTGCACAATTTAAAATTTTATCATGTAGGCACACGTGCAAAGCAATTATAGGCAGAAACGCTCTTGAGATACAGGCCAGAAGGAAGTACCTCGATGAAAAAGTGTAAGGTGTTGATATAATATAATTAGAATAAAAGATAGGGTCAAATTCTTTTATGCAGAACTTCTTTACGCGTCAGGATCGGTGGGTGGTGTAATGCAATTGCAGGCTCTCTTTGAGAAATTGGAGAGCCGAGTTCAAATTGCAGCCAAGTTCGTTACATTCACTTACGTGCAAATACCTGTCGCGACCGCCTTTGGCCGCTCCTTAAACGGGAACGAATAGGACGCTTCGACCTTGACCTTTTTGATCGTGATCCCTACAAACTATGTAATTTAATCTCATTTCGTTTTAGAATTGATCTAACGACTTTTTATTTCCTTTTGCGTTTGGAACCTAATCGTAACAAACTTCCTGAGCATTTTTACACCCTTCGTTTTTCGTAGCAAATCTCAACTTTTTTATTCTTTGAGTTTGAGGTCGGTCGGTCGGTTTGATTTTTAAGGAGCGGCCAATGGCGGTAGCAACATACCTTTAGCAAAGACATGAATCTATCTTATCTACGTGCTAAATAGTAGCACTTGTCTAAAAAAAAATCATTATTATCTCCAGAAAATTGTTAATGCGATATTCACACTCAAACATAATATTCCCATCATGCAACATAAGTTCCGGCTTTAAATTTAGCGACTTGATAAACTTTGAAAAAACAAATCATTCTTACATTTATGTAAATGGTTGTGTATCAGACAACTTTAATATAAAAGTAATCAAAGTTATGCCACAATAGATCTATACTTTAGATTTTGGCATTCTTTGCCGTTATCACTGTAGAATTCAGGGGTTTATTTTTTCTTCTCGTTCAGATTTTTCTCAATATTTCTATCCATCTCCAATATAAATATGCATCTCGAGAGTTCCAATTCTGAAGATGACGTAAGTAAGCCTCGAAACATGAATAAGGCAAACAAAAGCAAATATTAATTAAATATTGATTAGCTGTAAGCACGATTTTTGATGTTAGCTGCAGAGACGAGGGTGGATCGATAAGTCTGTAATGTAATACTTATTTTTTAGCTGAATTTGCAGTTGTAATTTTTTCGTAGAGTATAAGTCTTGGTCTATAGAATTAATATTCTCCTTGGAATGTAATACTTATTTTTTAGCTGAATTTGCAGTTGTAATTTTTTCGTAGAGTATAAGTCTTGGTCTATAGAATTAATATTCTCCTTGGAATTATATATATATATATATCATATATATATAAGGGGCGGTAATTTTAAACATTGTGTGTTACGCCGACCAGCCCGCACACTGTAGAAAACGGGACGCAGGTTCGAACATTTCCGAGCAGGGCATTGTCTTTATTGAATTTTCCCGAGTGCGCAGGCCGTTAAACCTAATACGTAGTGTTTAAAAACTTGGCATCTATTTTAAACACGGGTATCCAACAAAAATGATGCTTGAAATAATATATATACGGATATATATATATATATATATATATATATATATATATATAACGGATGGCAAGCGGTGTCGCAACTCTTTTCGCTCTTTGAATAATTTCCTAGCAGACAAATCTACGTATATTGAGAGAAAATATATATTCGAAATTATCTGGAAACAGTGTGGAATGCTAAGTGATATGTTTTCATTGAAAGTCAATTAATGTTACTCTTGACATAATTATTATTGTTCTCTTTCTTGTGTATATATATATATATATATATATATATATATATATATATATATATATATATATATATATATATTTATCGGTAAAAGTGCTCAATATCAGGTAGAACTTCTGTAAATATAAAAATCGCCATTGAAACGGCAGAGACGACAGTCTCTTTTATGCCAAACGAAATCGTCAGTTCATATATATATATATATATATATATATATATATATATATATTATTCCGCTTTCCATCCGTTATATATATATATATATATATATATATACAGTGTAATCCGGATATAAGAGAGTTGTCGGGACCGGAAGAAGTCTCTTATATCCGGGTTTCTTATGTCCGTGTTTGGTCTATTATATATACATTAACACAGGCTCTAATTTGGGACCAGAGAAAATCTCTCTTATATCCGGGTTTCTCTGTATATATATATATATATATATATATATATATATATATATATATATATATATATATATATATATCAATCGTTGAGAAAGTCGAATTTAGGTTGGAGATGGCAATTTGTTTGTAGATTTTTGAGTTGATAGGTTTATGTATTTGTTGGGAAGTAGAATGTTTCCTTGGTATAAATTGCACAACTTTTTTATAATTATTTGTCTATGGTTAAGTTCATCATTATTAATACTTATGTTGATATGGTATTGTACTTCATTATATTCAATTTCAGTTAAATTTTTTTTTTAGTACTGCATTATGTTTTTCGATTTCATTATGTATATATTGTATTTCGTTCTTAGCTTTAGTTATTTGTCGTAAAACAAGATTTTTTTCTGAAAGTTCCAGTGTTCCTTTCCTTGTTGGCTGCCATATCATGCAATTTAATATTACCATATACGTAGCCAATTTGTAGTCTCCAATAACTTTGTTTATTTTTAAGGATCCTGCAACAGCATTGTTACGTGTTATCAGTTTATTAAAATATTTATTTTGAGATGCAGTGGTATTCTTATTCAATTTATTAAATTTAGAACGATCATCAATAAGGTGCTAAAGGTTTTTGTGATAATCTAATTTATTCAAAATTACGTAAATATTGGTTTTATCAGCTTTTCTGATGACTATATTAGGGTTGTTTTTTTAATTCTGTAGCAGCAATTTTGATTTTTGTTGGAATGTTCTTGTTTGTATTACGTGAAATATAATCTTTTAGACGACTACACCGAGAAGATATTTGAGGTTTAGATGGAGTATTATCAATTTGTCCTTTTCCAGTTGATATAATGATTGATGTAAGATTTCAATTTCAGTTTTCTTTGTGAGAAGGTCGAATTTAGGCTGGAGGTGGTAATTTGGTCCTAGATTTAGAAATTCTTTCTGACCATCCGTTGATATGTGACTGGATAGGTTTATGTATTTAACACGGTTGTTGGGAAGTAGAGTGTTTCCTTGGTATAAATTGCACAACTTTTTTTCTTATAATTATTTGTGTAAAATGTGCATGAAAGAAGGATTGCTGCCTAAGTACACAAATTTTAAATTGCATGACATGGCAGCCAACAGGGAAAGCAACGCGAGAACTTTCCGAAAAAAAAAATCTTGTTTTACAACAAATAACTTAAGCTAAGAACGAAATCCAACATATATAAATAGAAATACAATTTTTCACTTAGCTGATAGAAGTTATATTCAAGAATCTTAAATTCTGTGTTTCGTAAACGAACGTTTTCGTAATTATTCGGCCCTCTCGTCAGGGGGTTTCAACGATTCACAGCGTATTTTTTTCATTTTTGTTATTTTTATCCTAAGTTAGACGTAATTAATATATGTGTTAAATCGGATGTTAACATTATTGGGCTTATGTTGATTTCTTTTCTTTTCTTGTGTGTGGACGTGTGTTTGCGCGTGTGCATGTGTTCCCCGTGTATATATGCGTAAGTGCATATATATATATATATATATATATATATATATATATATATAAAAAAAAAGGCTTAAACACTAATATTCCATGGTCTAAACACTAATATTAGTTTTTAAGCCTTTTATTATATCCTTACTCTGTCCTGGACATTGGGTTCTACCTGGATTCTATACTCTTGGAATTTTTATTCTAAAATATACATGTATAGGTATTTATATATTTTGCATATGTATGTATATTTACCACTATCTATTATCTATATATATATATATATATATATATATATATATATATATATATATATATAAAAAATGAAACAAAAAATACTAAAGAATTTTGGATTATTAACCTAACGGTTCTTTCCTATTTTTCTATATTTGCACATATATCAGCTCTCGAATTAAGGTTGAGCACTTGAACCTTTATTTTTAAAATAAGTATTTTAAAAATAAGGAAAAAGTAAATTTCGGCATTTCTCTGAAAAACATTCCAAACGCAAACAAACGGAATTATTTCGTAAAAACTTATGCAAAAAAACAGAGGAATTAATAAGAAGGATGAAATGGAAAAAATAATTATAATATATATATATATATATATATATATATATATATATATATATATATATATTTGTGTGTGTTCATAGGAAGACTATTACAGACGTATTTCGAAATCGTTTTTGCAGTTTATCTACTTACTACCTGCAATTAAATGCAAGTGTATTAAATCAATTTGTAAAAGACTCATGTATATTAATGATAAAAAGTGATCCATTTTCAACACACACACACACACACACACACATATATATATATATATATATATATAGTTTTAAAGTCTCTCGTAAGTACCTACAATGCAATAAACTCGTAACTGTACGCCTGCTTACCGACTGACAATCAAAAGTTCTCCGCTAACAAGGGCGTATTCCCCGCCAACTTCTCAAACCTAGCCGAGCGGAGATACAAGAAGTGAACAGAAGAACAAATGAAGTCGACGAATTGTATGGAACGAAACGAGAGGTAGGGACGAATCGATTCGTCTCGTCTCGCGCTCCGGTTCGCTTGCAAGATTCAATAATAGCATTTCGAATTTTCAACCATCACAAAACGCGATTCTCTATTGATTCGTGAAGGCAGAGCGGAAGTGACGTTTGTTTCCATTGATTATGGCGTCCATATTTCATGAAAGATGCCCTACTTGCGAAATTCGGCCGCAAAGATTAAATTTATAAACACTGAAAATGTATCAGATAGGATCTGACTCGCATTTCTGTGTACGCTCAGGCAAATTAAATCAGTTCACATTGAATAAAAATTTTTAATTTGTTTTGATATTGCAGTTTTGATGAAAGATGCCCATTGAAATAAATAAGAGATCAGAAGTGGATTTGATAGTAAGCTTCCGACTCACAGTTATGCATAGATATGATTTGATTCAAATTAAATGGATGAAGAGGAGGTGAAATAAACAAATATTATTTAAACGAAATCTTTACCTGAATTTAAAATTAAAATCTGACCTAGAGATTTTTTTTTATTATTTTGCAAAGAATACATTTTAAGCATGATGGATTTTTTAATCGTGTTCACCATTTGCAAGTTAGTAAAACCACGAAGATACAATGGGTTACTGGGTGTGGAAGAATTACAAACAGAAAAATTACTAATGGTCGAGAACAAAAAGACTAATCAGGAGGACAGTAGCTAGAGATTGACATATAAATTGACATTAAATTTTTGAAGATTAAAGTTGACTGGAAATCATGGAACTGGAAAGGTGTTCCACAATAGAGAATTGCGAGAAAAGAAGCTGTTAGCCTAAGAAATTAAGGTTATATCTAGCCAACTCAACTGTAAATTGATGAGATCTCGACGTCAGTCAAGTAAGGGCTTAAATTTGAAAATCTAGAAAACACAGCGAAGAGTAATATTTATTTTGAGTAATACAAAAATGTGGCACAAGGCCAAAAGGGGGAAAGGAGAAGGCTAGTCTTCAATTTGTCTCATCTTAAACTTAGCGAGAAACACAGAACAGTATTCCTTACACGAAAACGACACATGCTTAATTACTATTCTTGAGGCAGTCACCGTAATATCTTAGAGTCTCTACGTAGTCCTAACTAGTTCCCATACGTATAATCTATATATGGGATGGAGGGGAATAAATTAACAACATTTAAAAATGAAATTCTAATGAAAGAATGCAAAGAAAAGGCGCGGGGAGGTAGCCTGACGGCGTTGCGAAAGTGACTGAGATGTCAGATCAGGCTAATAATATTGCTGATTCTTCTTTGGATGTTTTTTTTTTCTAGATAAATAGCAGAGGTATGGAATTATGTGTGGCAGCAATATTCTAAGCAGGGTTGAATGGTAGACTGATGGATAGGAAGGATAGATTCCGAAGAGAAAAAAAAATGATATTGATTTCGAAATATGCGAAGTCTACTCGGAACAGATCCAGGTTCTGAATATCTCGATTATTGGTTGTTTGGTTTTGATGTAACGTAGCGACCACAAAATGATTATTTAAAGCCAGAAAAAATTTTTTACGTCGTAAGAATTGTTTTTGGAGATAATCATTTTTTTTTTTTTTTTACTGAGAGAAATTCTACTAATTGACACAAGAAGTGGATTCCTACCTTTCCCAAGGGTATTTGTACGTAAGTGAATATAACGAACCCAACAGGAATTGGAACACGGCTCTCTGATTTCTAACTACGAGCCGTTTTTTTTTAAAGCTTTTCACCCCAAGCAAGGCGGGGTGCCACTAGTACGCAAGGGGTTACAGAGTGGGAGCGAAAGTAAAGAGGCGTGATGGAGGAAAGGATAAAGAGAAGGACAGGGAATAAGTCAGGGCATCTGGAGATGTCCATTGACATTACATTTGAATAGTTGGAAATTATAGCTACCAGAGAAACAAGTAATAGAAAGGGAATTCTACAGACGAGAGTTGCGAGACATGAAGCTATAGGAGTAGAAGAGATGGCCACATTTAACCATTTCAACAATGAAAGGTTGGGACCGTGATGCCATCCTTGTAGCACGCTTAAATTCATGCAGTCTGGTTTTCTGTTGCGACATTAATTTTCGAGTCAGTTTCGTTTTTTTACGGCCTATCAACCATTTGCAGATTATTTAAAGCCAGAAAAATTTCGCACGTCGTAAGAATTGTTTTTGGAGACAATATTTTTTTTTTTACTGATAGAAATTCTACTAATTAACGCAAGAGGTGGATTGATATCTTTCTCAAAAAGTATTTGTGCGCAAGTGGATATAACGAATCTGACGGAATGGAACACGGCTCTCCGATTTCCAACTCCGAGCCGTTATCCATTACACCACACACGCATCCAAGCTTATAGCATTTGATATACCAAAACATTCACTCTTCTAGGTAGCAACCAGCCTCGACATTGCTTAACTTTCTACAAGAACAGGTGTTTGAACGTAATACGGCCGTAAAATCTGCCGTATTCAAATGGTATGGTCATCCTGGCTGGTATCATCGGTCCAGGCTGCTGCTACTAATAGAATAATGGTATGGTAAAGATTTTCTTGATCAATATTGAGACTCTTCGTATCAATAAAAGATGACTCTGTGTTGCATCCTACCTAAGCGCTATCGCTGACCACGTGCCTCAATTTATGGCTACGGTGTGCCTATTATCTGGTGGCCACTTCTAGCAACACAAAACGCTTACAGTCATATCAAGTTGAAACATCGGTTCTCATAGGATCACTGAAATTAAGCAAAGTCGAGCCTGGCCAATGCCTAGATGGGTGACCGCTTGGAAATACCAGGTGGTGAAAGCTTAAAGGTGCGATTGGTGTCATGGATAGCGGCTCGGAATTGGAAAGATCCAATTTCAGTTGGGTGTCGTTAAATTGACTCACACTCGACTAAACTTGGTGAATATATGAATCCAACTCTCCTCTCCAAGCAAATTTTCAGCGTGCCTTTTCCTTCCTTCACACATACGACACGCCCTGCCAATAAATAATGGACAATTATGTTTTTTATCACCTGGAAAGTCAGAAAACACATATCAGAGAAGATTCTTGGTGTCAGCGAGAAAAAGAAATCAAGAAAAAAGGCAGAAGTAAGTGTTTAACATCTCGTTCTTATACCTCATAAATAATGGACTATTCCGTCTTGAACCCGAGGAAAGACGGATAAGTTATATCAGTGATGCTGTTTGGTTACGGTGAGAGAGAAAAAAAACGAAACGAAATGGAAAAACTTCACAAACCTTTCATTTGTACCCTCATACTTCTTTAAATAATAACCTGCATTTATATTTATCACTGGTATTGTAATATTTTGTTAAAGTTGTCATGCTCAGATATTTAACGTTGCAGTTGATTAATTTCCACAACTATTTTATTATCATAGACCTTGCAAGGAGCTAATTCAAAAACAAAACTGCTCTCTATTAATCACCACAGAGAGCCTTCCCTGCCCTCCATTAGAATGTCTGACGCTCAACTTCTCGAGAGCACCTCTCTGCAGCTGCCCAGTCTCACTTTGACGGCTGACCTGAGATGGAACAAATATATTGAGTCAATTGCTTCGTCCACCGCAAGGAAAGTTGGCTCCCTGTGCCGCGCCAGGAAATTTTTCTCCCCGGAATCGATCCTCCAGATCTACAAATCAACAATTCGCCCTTGCATGGACTATTGCTGTCATATATGGTCTGGAGCCCCTTCTGTTTGCCTCGGGGTTCTTGATAAGCTCCAGAGGCGGATATGCAATATAATTGGCCCTGATCTGGCATCTCGTCTACAGACACTTTCTCATAGACGCGCCGTCGCCTCTCTCTGTCTGTTTTACAAATACTTTCATGGCAATTGCTCCGAGGAGCTGCATTCGGTGGTTCCCAGACTTCATGAGTTCAAGCGCCCGACGAGGCTGGCATCACGCTCTCACCCCTCCACTGTCGAAACTCCTAAATGTAGCCGTCTCTTCTACTCCAATAGCTTCATGTCTCGCACCTCTCGCCTGTGGAACTCCCTTCCCTATTCTAGTTTCCCTGAGAGCTATAATCTCCAGCTATTCAAATGTAATGTCAATCGACATCTCCAGTTGCCTTGATCTATCCACTACCCTTCTCCTCATCCTTTCTTCTATCACTCCTATCTGATCTTGCTCCAAATTTTCTGTAACCCCTCGCGTCCTAGTGGCTTTTCGCCTTGAACAGGGTGAAACGCTTAAAAAAAAATTCAATCATTGATTTAGAAATTGATTCATAAGATTAAAATACAAAAACCCTGAAATATTCACGGGTCGAACTAGTATGCGTTATTCTGTGAGTCATTATGGCTAGAAACGCCACCATGTTTCAATCGTAGTAATTTGGCAATGTTATTTTTTTAATTTCATTCCTACATTTTAAATTTCAGGTGTTCTCACTCGCATAAATATGGTGAACAGTTTGAAACAAAAAGGCCAAACAGATCTCGTCTGTTTTCGAATTTAGAACTTTACTTCTAGACGGGCTGTCAATCACGTTTAACACGCGAGCATTTTAAGCGGATTAGATATACTAACGAATATAATAAAAAAATAAGAGGGTAAAATAATAGTTTTTCCAGGCATAGCTTAGATGTTGCACAAGTCCGAAAGTATGGGGCACCCAGTAAGAATCAGACTCTTTATTCGGACATAAATTGATCTAGCGAGACAAGCTTGCAAACCATTACACCGCGTCGAGGTGCTCTCAGGTTAAAGTAATAAAAGGCATGAGCAATTTAATGCAAGGTGAATATACTACAGGACACTAGCAGAGAAATATTGCCTACATTTTGGCAGCATGTTTTCATTAAGACATGTCTCATTAAATAATTTAGGGAAATTTTGTGTACTCATTTGTTACAAATATCCTCTTGTAATCTCAGACAAGATTCTTAGATTCTTCCTTATTAAAGGAAGAAAGAGAATTACTATATTCATACATATTCATTTTATTCCGTGTACTTTCAACATTACCACAATCTTATTAAAAATAATCTGACAAGATTGTATAAGTCTATCTATCTATCTATCTATCTATCTATATATATATATATATATATATATATATATATATATGGGAGGAAATAAATATTCGTACACATGAAAAATTCTATTTTTATAAATGTAAAAGCCTAAACTAAAACAAATTTTGATACATTTTATGTGTAAAGATACATTTTATTAAAAAATAGTAATAAACTTAATTAATTCTTATTCTAACAGAAATTAATGCATTCTTTTCATTTTAACTGATGAAAAAAGTATTTGTACAAAACAAAAAAAGCATATCAACTTAATTTAACTTTGTGGAATATCCTTTATTGAGTTCAACAGCTACCAGTCTATTCCTGTGCGTCTCAACTAATGATTTGCATACATTGAGTGGTATTTTGTCCCATTCTTCTTGGCATATTGTCTTCAAATTCTTGATATTTGTTGGTGCTCTTTTCCCAATTTGAATTTTCAACTATCGCCATAAATCTTCGATTGGGTTCAGTCTGGGGACTGACTTGGTCATTGCAAGACATCAACGTTACTTTCTGCTAACTATTTCCTTTTAGATCTAGCGGTATGCTTAGGATCATTATCCAGTTGGAAAACCCAATCAGGAGGTAGCCGAAGTCTCTCAACATTCTGCATTAAATTGTCTTGCAGGATTTTCTGTTATCTTTTGGCATTCATCTTGCCATCTATTATTGATATTCTGCCAACACCTTTTGCAGAAAAACGGCCCCAGACCAGGATACTGCCACCACCAAACTTTACAGTTAGCAACGTGTTCTTTGGTAAGTAGGCTTCATCGTCCTTCCTCCACACATGATTTCGATAATTAGGACCAAACAACTCTATTTTAGTTTCATCTTTCAAAACGGATATTATTTATCCTTATACTCTCTAACGAATTTTAGCCCAGCATCTCTGTGTCGTTTGAAGAGGAGTGGAGTCTTCCTTGGGATGCGTGGTTTCAGACTGTTTTTGTGTAGTTCATTACTTATTGTACGCTTGGTTACTTTAATCTCTAATGCACGCAGGTGTTCCTGTAGCTCTTCTAGGGTAACCTGTGGATTTTGTTGGATCTGGCATCCTAATATCCTTGCTGAAATTTTCCTCGGAGCACCTGTTCGTCTTTGGTTTTCGACGGTGTTACGAGTTTTAAACCTTGTAATGAACGAAGCAAATGTAGTAAAAGAAATATTCAGGTTGTTAGAAATCATTCTGTAACTGTTCCCATCTTTCCAAAGAGACAAAATATGTTGTTTTTATGAAATAATCAATTTTTTACCTTTAGGCATTATTCGAACCTTCTCGTAAGACTAGAAATTGCAGAATGCTCTGATAATGGCTAATAGCGCTAACTATAATTACTGATAACATTACTGGAACATTCTAGAATATACTTTTTTCATAATAATTGATTTGTACGAATACTTTTTTCACCGGTTAGAATTTAAAAAATGCATTAATTTCTGTTAGAATAAGAATTAATTAAATTTATTATTATTTTTAATAGTATGTGTATTTATACATAAAATGTGCCGTGATTTGTTTTATTTAAAACTTTTACATTATAAAAATACAATTTTTCAAGTGTTACGAATATTTATTTCCCCACTATATATATATATATATATATATATATATATATATATATATGATGTGTGTGTGTGTGTGTGTGTGTGTAGAGGAATAAACGTGTTAAATCGAAGAAATAAACAATCTTCAAATAGAACTCTTCAAATTTAAATACATCTTATTATTGAGTATTTGTTTTCAAAGGCCACGCAAAAAAATTTGTTTTCTTTTTATAATACAACAGAATCAATTTCGTTATTATGATAAAAGGAACAGAATGTGTCTAGATAAAAAAAGTTGCACATATTTTTCGTTGTTTTATGAATGCTTGAAATTTTCTAGTAGTCAACATATCAGCAGACGAATGTGTGTTATAACTACTGCTAACATTGTTTACAAAAGAAAAACTCCGTTTGCATGTATTTTTTGTCTTTTTTCCTTGCTTAATTTATTTAAAATCGCGAGTTTCTCTCTGAATTATGTGGAAAGTTGAGTAATTAATTATACAAAAGGTGTGAGAATTCAGTTGTGTACAAAACAACAACCCCAGGCAACAGGAAAAAACTGAAAAGTGAATGCTAACTTAAGGCTACGAATATTTATAGAAAACAGATAGGCTCGAAGCTAAACTCAGATGTTTATTGGTTAATAGATGTTTTTTCCAATTTATTCGAAGATTATGACATAAACATGTTATAAAATTACTACAAAAATAGCCATTTTGCTTCATCACGTCTGGTGTATTATCAAGTGAAATTCAACACCATCACTTGATAAGACACCAGAAGTGTAGAAACAAAATGGCTATTTTAGTAGTGTTATTATGACATGTTTATATTATATATATATATATATATATATATATATATATATATATATATATATGTAGAGATTCGTCAAATAAATAAATAACAGTAAACTTTGCAAACCAGGATGACTTTATCATGTTTAGTGAAAATTAAGTAAGGACTTTTAAGAAAAATATTATTTCTGTAAATAATTTCAGTTTTACTACCAAGTTGCCTGATTCAAATGAAACAAACCTCCTTGGATTCAGAATATATATAAGTATATATATATATATATATATATATATATATATATATATATATATTATTAAAGACATTTTTATATTTAACGTTCTTTTTATAGATAAATAGTATTTAATAAATGCTTATTTAAATAAACAGTATTAAATAAAAATTTAATACTGTTTATTTAAAC